AAGACCCTAAAGCCTATGATAAATCAGATATGTTGAACATGAAATATAATATCACCTTTGATGCCAGCTTTCAGAGCTTGTTTTGCACGTTTCTTCTTTACAAATGCTAACATGGGATCTTCATCTCTGTCTTTTTCTTTTAACATTGCATCAAGATCAACATCGTCTTTAAACCGAGCTAATGGTTTGGACATTTCATACAAGTTTTCTTCTACAGTACTCTGTCTTTCCTTGGATTGTACAACCCTAGATCAATACAAATTCAAGTAAAATTTATTGAAAAAAATTAGGATGCAAATATTATGGAAGTGCGTTTTTAAATTAGTTTTATAAAAGCTTTATAATTCTGTTCTAATAGCTGAATCAAATTCCTATGAATTTTGATTTTGCAAAATGTTTTGTCGATTGAACTATTTGTCAAATACAGAATACATATTTCTTAGTACAATTTTCCTTTCAAAATGTGGATGCAATATTTTGCTTTTTATGTATTGTTTTTGATTTGATAAATTTGGACTAAACAGATTTTCTATTAGCTTCAGATCTTGATCAAAAGTTTGGCACCCAATTTATAGGAGTGCTTATATTGATTATCTGACATCTTGTTTTTATTGGTAGGTTTGTAAATGTGTATCAGAATGTGCAATAACTCTCTCCATGAGTTGGTATTGAAACTCAGTCTAGTATTCCCATGGCATTTGATACATTACCAATGATATTTTTGCAAGAGAAATGATTTACTTCATTGAACACATAGAACAATGCATATTCCCACTTGGATCAGTGACCTTTGATGTGTATCACCAGTGAATTCAAGTCGAAACAGTCAAAATATTTTATCAGATTTTTTCAATTTTTGCATGATATTTTCACACAGGACATCTGTCGTTCAGGGAAGATTTTATACTGATGAATGACCAAGTTTGATAAATTAGCAAAGTTATTGTGTACACATTAACAATTATTAACAACGACAACAACAGACATTTTCCCCTTCCTTTCCAGCAAGGTAAAAATAACATATTCCTGTTCTAGTTTGATTTAATCATCCTAACCCTTGATTCCTTGGCTTCATTTGGTTTCTTTGATGTGAATTTTATAAACATAACATAGATGTATGGGACATAAATCATGTTGTTCAGAAAGGTTTTTGCACCACACTTTTTGACTATTTACACAGAATGACCCTACGTTGAAGCTGGAGCATGTAAAAGTTCCAAATACCGGTAGATGCCAGGGCTAGAATTACGTCAAGTCAATTTGTGAATGGCTGGGGACACCATTTATGTATTTAGTCAGTCAGGAGTTTCTTTATACAAATTACCGTACTTATCCGGGTAAGAGCCCATGCCGGGGCAAACGCCCACCCCTCACTTTTGACACAACAAGACATGAAATGTCACAGTCCCCGTTATTTGAATATAAAGTTGTACAAGGAACATCTGCAAACAGGTGAATAAATATGCACTCTATGTGGTTACAACTCATCATAAAGTGATTTCCGATGATCTAGTTTTGTACTGACAACTAAAAACTTCCACTGACCCATGTTGAGAATCTCAGAGTACACAAGTGCAACAAAACTATTTGTCATACATGTATACTTGCTCAAGAAACTGCATTCATAAATTTGAGTGAACCTTGATGTACATGACTTCTTTGTTAATCAGGTCTTAGTATATTACCAAGACCTGGGTTTGTTTCAACATCACCACTGGGCATCAGAATCATTCTCATGTTGTCAAATACAATTTGTTATTAACACAGTAAGGTTTATTATTTAAAATGTATTCATTGTACATGGAACAACATCTGTTAATTTAAACAATTGTAAGAGCTATGTTTTCAGAGCAAGTAAAGGTTGGTCTGCTCATTCCATTCAATGGAGAAGTAACAATAGTTGTTTCAAGTCTTTTTAGTGCAGTGATATTATTGCATTTCAATTATTATTAATGGGTATAAAATACTGTAAACCATTTAATTTTCACTTCTAGATATATTCAGGATTTTGTGAAATTT